CACTTGGTAGACCAGGCTGGCCTCGAACTCACAGAGATCCGCCTGGCTCTGCCTCCCGAGTGCTGGGATTAAAGGCGTGCGCCACCACCGCTCGGCTGCGTTATACTTTTCAAACAACAACTGTGGGGAAGTCAAAGGTGGAGTGAGAACTCACCACAGCATCATCTAGTGGCCCCTCCTTTACCTCCTTGTTTCACCCCCTAAAATGTGTCGAAGGATATTCGCTCACCCTGGGAACCCCGAGTTTGCATTTGATTAATTAAATGAAATCAGCCGTGGGTCAGGAGGCCGAGCCAGCCGCTAGTCGACACAAAGTAATCATAGAGAGTCACAGGGAGTCTGGCAGATAGGCAGAAAGATGCACAGGAAGTAGTAGGGAGGGACTTTGAATATGGCCATCTTTTTTGGTTTAGTGGAGAGGAAGGGAGCTCTCTTTCTGAGATGCCCTTGAAGAGGAAAGGTCCAATAGCTGCTCCTCCACCTCTCTGAGCCAGCGGGTTTTCACCTCAGCCTCTGACTCCCAAGTCTTATTGATAGATAAAACAATAGATATTTAGTTAAAATTTTTATTTGGTGGCATCAGCAGGAGGCAGATCTGGCAGGATGTAAAAAAAAAAAAAAAACCTAAAAAAGTAAAAAATAAAAAATTCTTCACAGTCCTAGGCTTTATTCTTGAAATGCCTACAGTGGACAAAATCTTCATCCTACCCCACTGCAGAGGTGAAGAGGCCGTGCAGCAACCAGATCTGGACTTTTTGCACATTCACAGACAAGACCAAAGGCTTTCTAGGTAGAACCTTCTGCTACCGGTAGGCCAATGCCACCATCTTGTGGCTATTGGAAGAAAGACAGACTGAATTCTTTTCTGTGTTTGTTTGTTTTGCTTTGTTTTGTTTTTTGAGTCAGGGTTTCTCTGTGTAGCCCTGGCTGTCCTGGATCTAGCTCTGTAGACCAGACTGGCCTTGAACTCACAGAGATCCTCCTGCCTCTGCCTCCCGTGTGCTGGGATTAAAGGTGTGTGCCACCGCCCGGCCAATAACCTGAATTTTTATTTTGGGTGGTCCATATGAATATCTTTTGTAGTGAAGAGAAATCTCTATTTCCTTGTTATTTTCTCCATCAGTCTTTAATCCAGGTAGAACTTATTTTGGAAGATTTCAAAAGTGAAATAAAAAAAATTTCCAGAGAAGCACAAAAATTAGCTTTTTTGTTTTGTTTTGCTTGTTCTAGACAGGATTCCTCTGTGTAGCCCTGGCTGTTCTGAAACTCACTTTGTAGACCAGGCTGGCCTTGAACTCATGGAGATTGGCCTGCCTCTACCTCCTAAGTGCTGGGACCAAAGGCATGTACCACCATGCCCGGCTAAATTTTTTTTTAAATCATCTTGGCGCTGGAGAGTTGGCTCAGTGGTTAAGAAAACTCGCTCTTACAGAGAGCCTGCACCCACACTGTGGCTCCCAACCACCCGTAACTCCAGTCCCAGAAGATCCGATCCCCTGTTCTGACCTCCACAGGCACCAGACATGCACATGCTGTGCATACATACATGCAGGCAAAACACTCATGTACATAAAATTATTTTTTTTAATGAGATCATCTTGTATAGAAATGTCTAAACTTCTGCAAGATAAGTTCACTGAAATGCTAAAGTCATGATGTGTATCATCCGACTAAAATCACTCATTGTCAATCCCACGTTATTCACATGGAAACTTGGCATCCTGAAATTCTTTCACCTCAGCGGGAATCGACAATAGGGAATTACCTTCTTCATAATTCTCATTTTTCTCAAGGGCTTCAACTGTCACGTGTATCTAGAGTTCTGATGTGAAAAATCCTTCCTCTGGTTCCTTGTTAAGCAGACATAGTACTATGCCACTTGTCTTTCATCGTCTCTGAAACCAGCTATAAAAACTAACCCTCATCACTAAAAAGCACACACTTTCTGACAATCACACAAGCTCTGCATTGGACAAGTTGTCTTCCGTTTAATCTTGGCTTTATACCAAGCATATGATCGGTGCATACACAGAAGATGGAAGCCTTCATGCCAGAGTAGGGAAGATGAGGCTCCCAGAGACCAGTCCCCAGAGCAGCTCCTGGCAGAACCCAGAATCGAGTTAGAATGAATGACAACTCAATGGCTTCTTCCCTGGCCCTCTGAGGGAGAATTTTTACCACCTTCGCACCAACGTATCACACCTGCAGTATTGTTGTGGTGAGCCACTTTTGTGGAACATCTGCTATTCACAAGAGCCAGGTGTTCTGAAAGGGGGTCCAATGGGGAACAAGACTGCCCCTCCCCTGAGGAGCTCACACAATGGCTATAGTGATGGACACCATACTGTGATGCCATCCTGGAGAATACAGGTTAATTCTAGTAGCGAAGGAGCACCAGAGCCTGAAGCAAGGAAGGGTTCTGGGTATGACCCAACCCCCTCACTCTGCTGTGAAAAAGTAAGTGCTTCATATGTAAACAGCTTGCCCAGCATCTCCCAGTTGGCAGTTAGAACAAAAAGCCAGGTCTCCTGGCCCCCAGAAAAATAAATAATGGCTCGGGGGAGTGTCGCTTACAGAGAAATGCAAAAGGAAGTTGTATACATGTGCGACTTGGCGTTTACACACTTGTCTTGTTTTCTGTGACCAGATCTTTCCTTCTTTCCACTTCAACCTCAAGCTTTTGAGTTT